TATTTTGAGATTTTAAGTATTACATTCTTATATCTATTATTGGTAACTGTATTGAGTATCTGTTAATTAATGGTTGTAACTGTGTTAAGTATCTGTTAAATTAAATTGTATGCTAAATGTAAATAGTCATGGTATGTTTCTTTATGGTGTAACTATTTTTGTGTAACTTTTTGATGTAACTATTTTGATTATTGTTTATAGTATGGGTTAATTGGGATTTGATGATGTGTACATGTAGCAAGCTGAAGTGCAACTGGACATCTCATCCGATGATGATGTTCACACATCACAAATGACGGATATAGGCAACACTATTCCCTAAATTCTTGATTAAGACATCAAAAAATGAATGATATTGTATCCATTCAAAAGGAAAAGAAAAATAGTTACACAAAATAGCACAAAAAAAATGTTAATACAAAGGACTGAATTAATTAATCACATACTATGAAAAAAAAACATAATACAAAAAAAATAGTTATACTATACAGGATCTACCAAATAGGTATTAGCTGAAAACTTGCATACAAGAACAGTTACACTAAAACATTACTCTGATTTTTTTAACATAGTTACACAAAGCAAAAATCAAAAGAAACATGACAGAAAAGTACTTAAAAAACATAAAACAAAATAATTACACAAAAAAAACACTTAAAAAACATAAAAACAAAATAAGTATATACAACCAAACACTAATATAACTTTTTACACATACAGAAATACAATATCAACAAAAAAAAATGTACATTACTGTTTATGCAAAAAATAGTTACACCCATTAANATGTACATTACTGTTTATGCAAAAAATAGTTACACCCATTAAAAAACCAAAGTAGTTCTTTTTTTCTCTACATCCCAACAACGAACAACATAAAACAAAATTGAAATTAAGATTTCCCAATAAAAATGGCCAAATAGAAGAAAAAACTTAATTATTAAAAACTTACCTTCAAACCGATGATGGTGATCGGTATTTGCAATTCCTTTTTTCAAAGAAATCCTCTATTGATTAAGACAAATAGACTTTGGAAGCAAACAAAAATAAATCAAGAAGATACCGCAACCGGAGAAGTGAATCGTCAAGCCGTACGTTGAATGACATCGTAATGAAGCCGACCGTTGAAGAACACTTTTACTGCAGAGACATACCACAAAAATTGCAATTCAAAATTTAAAAATGAATGATAATATCTACAATAATTTTTACATATTTGTTTCCTCAAATAACTGTGAATGATAATTGCATAATTTAAGATAGAGTGTTTAGGTAACAATATTTTTATTTCATTTGAATTTTGTACCTAAGCACAAAAAATTTTATTAAAATTGTACTTAATAGAGTAAACAACTTATTCATACACTTTTGCTCAAATAAGTCTAAAAAATTGTACTCACACCCAAAAAAAACCCTACAAAGTTGGGTAATTTATAATTTATATCTTTAAAGTATGGACATAATTTCTATTTGGTCTCTGAAGTTTCAATTGATACAATTACATCCTTGAAGTTTGAATTGAATTTCAACCTAGTCCTTTCATCTAGATCTATTTGTTTGGACAAAAAGACGTCACATGACTTGCCTGGGTATATTTGTCCAGTAAAAAATATGTCCTTTCATAATATTTCTCAAATTTTCACTCTATATCTTCATTTTTTTAGTTTGTTATCCTTTTTTCTCAAAATCATATGAAATAAAGTAAAATTTTCTAACCTACACATAACAGATTTTTCACCAAATAAAGATACCCTTTTACCTAAGTCATGTCTTAGTCACAGAAGACCATTTTGTAATAATAAATTGGTAAATTTTGATGTAAGCTTTAAATTCCAACTCAAATAAAACTCTAAAATTTGATTATTACAATTAGAACTAGAAGGACCAAATAGAAATTAGTTGCATACTTTTAAGAGAATAAACTATAATTTACCCAAAATCTAATTGTTGTATTTCATAAAACTATATTTACTATTGTATTTATCCATTTAGATACTAAATGGATGTAAAACCATATACATTAAAATATGGAAAAATGGTTAAAAATAAAAAATTTTAAAAGTTAATAAAATATAACCATTTTTTAACGTATATGATTTTACATCCATTTAGTATCTAAATGGATTTATCCTACAATACAAAAGGGACAATAGTAGTTCATTTCTAAAAAAAAAAGGTCAAGATTTGGATTTTGTCACGCCCCAATTGTTTAGATAAATGATGTGATCATAAATCAATCCAATTATGTCATAAAAGGAAGCTGAGTTTAATTTCCAAGAGAACCTTAAATTAAATATCAATTTGGATTTAGATAAAACACATTTTTTCAAAAATATCAACAACTTTGAATAAAGAAAATATCGAAAGCAGTGATCATAATGGTAAGCGCATGACTAGTGAGAACATTGAACAAACTAAACAATCCACTAGCTAGAGATAAAAACATGCTCCTAACATCCATCAACCTATTTAGGTTTACAATCCCAAAACCATGGAAAGAAGTACAATGGAAACAAAGCTAAAACTAGACAAGTAATGTTAAAGTTCCTCCCACAACTCTTAAGAAAAATAAAGGAAAAGTGTGCTAGCTGTCACTCGGTTTCCTAAATAAACTCCTCAACTACCTCCCCTATCTCGTGAATAGTCTCTAAAAAATATTAAGTAAGAATGAGCTACAAAACCCAGTAGGATATAATGTTTTCCAAAACCTCACCAAGGTTTATAAATATGACAATAATAAGCATATAATAATCAACATAGCAATTTCATATACATATGTAGAAATATGATGATGCAACAAAAATCATGAATATGCATGACCTTTCCAAAAAAGTATAAAGGCACAACCACATGAATAATAAATCTGAAGGCCTGGAATGTAACATATATCAGCCCTAATAGTCATCCAACAGCCAGTCCACACTTGCATTACACGTCAATTCAAAGGGCAGTGTCCAGTCAAGAGATTGCATTATTGGAGCGGAGATTAACATACCTTTAAGCTTATCAAAAGCTTGTTGACATGTTTCATTCCATACGAAAGTTACATCCTAACTTAGGAGATGACACATGAGTTTTGATATGGTATTGAAATCTTTGATGAATCTCCTATAGAACCCTATATGCCCTAGAAATGATCGGACATCTTTAACAGTTTTAGGAGCAGGCAAATTGACTATCAGATCTATTTTTGCTCTGTCAACTTTTATACCTTCTGATGACACAATGTGACCCAAACCAATGTATTGTGTTACCATGAAATAACATTTCTCTTAATTAAGTACTAGATTAGTCTCCTTACATCTTATCAAAACTTTTTCCAGGTTAGTTAAACATAATTCAAATGAATCTTCATACACAGAAAAATCATCCATGAATACTTCCAAAAATCTCTCAACCATGTCACTAAACAAACTCAACATGCATCTTTGAAATGTTGCAGGAGCATTACAAAGTTCAAATGGAATCCTTTTAAATGCAAAAGTACTGAATGGGCATGTGAACGTTGTTTTCTCTTGGTCATCAAGTGCTATCTCGATTAAATTGTACCTAGAATACCTATCTAGAAAATAATAAAATGCATGACTTGCAATTCTTTCTAAGACTTGATCGAGAAAGGTAAGAGGAAAGTGGTCCTTCCTAGTCACCGAATTAAGTTTTCGGTAATTTATGCACAGTCGCCATCCTATGACAACTTGGGTTGGTACCAACTCATTGACATGATTTTTAACCACTGTGACCCTAAATGTTTTGGGCACGACTTGGGTTGGGCTAACACATTTACTATCAGAGATGAAAAAAAATAATTCCTGCATCTGATAGTTTGAGCACCTCAGTCCGCACAATCTCCTTCAAGTGAGGGTTCAACCATTGCTACATTTGATGAGAAGGTTTTGCATCATCCTCGAGGTATATAGCATGATTGCAATTAATGGGCTTATACCTTTTAAATTAGAAATGGTCCACCCAATGGTGCTCTTATGACATCTAACGACTTCTATTAGCTTAGACTCTTGTAATTTTGATAGCTTGGATAAAATAACCACTAGATAAGACTCGTCCTCTCCTAAAGTCAGTGGACTGGTTTGAGGAGGCAGTTGGTGTCGGTGCTATTTTGTGGTTTAAAGCAGTATGTGTTAACTGGAGCAGAGGCAGTCGGTGGACTGGTTTGAGCAGTAGTTGGTGGATTGGTTTGTTCTGGGCAGTTGGTGGACTGGTTTGTTCTGGGCAGTGTGTGGGTTCTGTCAGTGGACTAGTTTGGAGTTGCTGGGTTTTTGGTTGGGTAAGATTGTTGCCGGAGACATTCAGTGGAATTGGCTGTGTCTTTCGCTGGTTGTGATGTTTGGTTGAGGCTAGGGTTAGGGTCAGAATTAGGGTTGTGGCTCTAATACCAACTAGAAATATTTGTGAGTGGATGAGATACTCAAATTAAGAATAGAGCCCTGTATATATAGTCAAATAATAATACAAAGTGACTTAAATATCCTTGTGGTCTAGGCAAAATATAAAGTCATAGTAAGGGTTAAAAAGGGAAAAGATATCCTAATAAACTAGACTATACTCCAACAAAAACAAATCACTAGTATGTACCATGTCCACCATTCCATTTCCAACTCGCTAAATTAAAAAACCTTTGCTGCGTAATTCTCCAAGCTAGAACAAATCACTGAAAACCTCAGCTGCATTAAAAATCAGCTAGGACAAATCAGTCCAGTAGAGATATACCCAAATTCTGAAGCTAAAACCAACTGAGCAGTCCAAGAGACGTGAACAGTCATATAGCCAAAAAAAATATTCTCAATTGGAGAATGAAAATTCCAACTGGAATTAGCAACTGAAGGAGAAGAAAACCAGTTGACAGAACGACGAAATCCCTGGCATAAGCTAAAAGAATGCAACTAAATATTTAATGAACAGTAACGTGAACAGTCCAGCTGCAAAGTGATCAGACTATTTAAAAAATATTCAAAGAAGGAGAGTCCCAAGCTCTCCTAACACAGTCAAAGAAGGAGCTCGGTAACCTTTTGTCTTGCAGCTTGTTCAAGAGGAATTAGCTTTTCTTGTTCTTTGAAGAAAATACCTTTAGAGTTCTCCTTAATTTCCTCTAAGACTTTCTCTTCATCAAGAAAGAGTTTTTGCAATTTGGGAATGTCTTCCTCCAGTTGGGGTATGAGATTTGTTGACTCCTTGCACTCATTTGTTATGTTAGTAATCTTTGTTGAATCCTACAGTGGAACCCAAAGTAAGATAGATGCATTAGTTTCAATACAAGTGGAAACCAATTGTTCTCATACCTTGTCAACTTTCTCAACACAGAGTACAACACATCCCAGACTGCAGTACCAACCTCTGCTTGACCAAAACTCCAACAAAATTCTAGGTACAAGAGTTGGCTTTAATCCCCTTCGAATAACATAAAATACAAGGAAAGGTTAAGCACATAATAAAGACAAATCCCCTTCGAATAACACAAACATAAAAGGGACAGAGAGCAACAACAAATTGCTCAAAATACAAATTTTCCTTTTACAGTTAGCAACAACTGCTGATAATTGCTAATAATAGCATGCATCTGTTAAGGTCTTGCTCCAAGTATCATGTATTTTCACATTTGTAGTCCACATTGATATATGGTTGCCTATGAAAAGGCAAGTGATAATTTTATTCTTACATCTCGGTCTCAATTGCTTGTTATTTCTACATCAGCTTCAATGACTATCATTACCTTTTTGTATTTTTCAGTGGTTTCTTTTAAACATTCAAAACTTGCACAACAAGTATGCATCCTATTTACAAAGCCTCTGTATGCCAGATGTTGGGATATCTAGGCATAGCATGTGAGGGAGCTATCATTAAGAGGGAGTGTATCAGTAATTATGGAGCAAACTTTAAAATCAGTATGAGCAAATACATTAGCAAAAGTACTCAATCCCACATACCATAGCTCATAACAAGTTGGGCATCTTAGCTTTACGATGTGAAGTTTAAACATTCTAGAAATCACTTATTTCTTAATTGCTCCATGGATTTCCAGCATTAGGTTAATTAATTCACAATAGCTTACCCAAAAAAAAGTTGTTTCCAAGGTTAAGAGAAACAAGCTTGCTCTAGTTTTCAGCCCCACCACCCGGGGCCAAAATTGGGAAAGACAATTAATACCTGAATGGCTATATAAGCTGCCATGCAAATGCAGTTTCCTATTAAGCATAAGACACCAAGGTGCCAAAGATCAATCCCAAAATTTAGAAAACTAGACAGCAACCATCCAGCAGGCTCTGGCTCCCTGGCACTTATTTGACTTTGTGCAGCGAAATCTATCTCTCCATATCCAAACAAAGTCGGGCCCTGGAACAAAGCCATTAAAATAGCTCCAATGACACATACAAGTGTACCACCAAACTTTGCCTGACCTTCAGTTCGGAGCAAATTCACTGTTTCTGTACTGTATTAAAAAAATTTAAATATGATATTGGACAAGCAAAAACAGTATATTTGGAAGCAATGTACACACACAAAAGTAAGAGAGGAAAACATAGAAAATTGCAGGCATGTTTGTTTGTACATGTACATAACACGAGAGAGAGAGAGAGAGAGAGAGCTGGAACGCGGATTTGGACAAAGTAAGGGTAGCTCGTATAGGAGAGTTATGGGTGGAGAAATGAGGTTCAAGGATGAAATTAAATATCAAATTAAACTTTAAAAATTTAATTGATAATTTTTTAGGCCTTGTTTTAATATGTATGTATATATATATATATATATATATATATATATATTTAAAATTATTTTTTGGATTTGAGATATTTACCAAAATGTCATCACAAGGCCAAGATCTCCAAGCAACTTGTTGGCTGCATTTGGAGGCTCCTAATAGCATGCCTTCCACCCAAATGCTAGGGAAAGGGGGGTCTTGATCATCTGCTCGCTAGTTTGGATAAGGGAGAATTGATAGAGGGAGAGAAAAAGAGAAGATAGAAAGAGTGTGAGAACTTGCAAATGCAATTTTTGTGTGAGTTGAATTCAAGCAAAAAAAAAAAAAAGAAGGTCTCCTCCTAGACTAATTTGGTTGCTAGGAAGTTATGTTTGATAAATGTATTGATTACTGTATTAGCATGAATTTATATTTTGAAGTTTTCGATTTTTGCATGGGTTCGTTGATTGGAGAGGTTTTGATTTGATTTTAACTTAGGGTTCAGTTTTTGGGTGTTAGAAAAGAAGTTTGGTGGTGGTTTGGAAGGCCATTATGGCTATTGGTGGTGGTTTGAATTTTGGAATCGAAGTTAGAGTTTCAAGGTTTTCAAAATCAAACTTGTTTAATTTGGTGTTTTGTTTTGAAACGGGTATTTTCCTAGCCTAAACTACACCAAAGAGTCCATTTGTATTGTTTCAAATGGGTTTAGGGTCTATTTAAAGGGTCGAAACATCAGTTGTAGGTCTGTCCATGGCAAAAAACCAAGGACACTTCGCCTTGACGAATTGGTAGAACTTGTACCGGTACAAGAAGCTTGAGTGTCTAATGGACCTTTTGTTGGTCCCAAAAGTTTTGTAACGTCCGTACGGATGTCCCAATAAAATTGAAGTCAATGTGATATCCTGATAATATGTGGTGTAAAATGTCTAATTTTCCCTCCATGGTCGATTGACCTAGTATTTGGATGAGTTTTGTCAAATAAATTTTATATTCACTTTTAATTAGTTAAATTGAGTATGTTTATGAAATTTCATCAAGAAATAAAATCATTTTATTTTTGACTATTTCAGATCGAAATATTGAGATTGGTAGGGTTTCTCAATTTTAGATCGGGCGAGATTTTCAAAACTCCTTTTCTAGGTTTATGAAATATGTTATTTATGATGCTTTAGCATGTTTTGAAATATATGATTGAGTGTTTTGATTATTGACTTGGATCTGGACCTGGATTGGGGTTGTTGAGTGCAGTTCGCACTAATTGTTTGTGTTGTCTATATTGATTGTATCATTAGAAATGATTGAAACTTCAGGATTTTTTTTTGAATTAAATGCAAGTGTGCAATAGTTGAGTGGTGAACGGTTTATATTCCAGGTTGAGGTCGTATAGGGTTTCTCATTTAGTTTGTAAATGTTTGGGTAGCTTTGTTGGTCTTCGAACTTGGGTACCAAATTTTTATTAGGGAGCATATCTTCCTCAGGATGAAAGTCCTCCAAAATGTTGGATCGTAAGTTTGTATTGACCCTGAGTGTTCTATTAGGATGATCGCCCACAGGTGCATCACTTTATTAATGTTGTGATCGCATTACTTTTTTTTTAACCTTAAATTTTTTCATTCAATGTTTTCTTCTCTATTACTTATGTATGAAATGAACTGTTTTCATATTGCCTAATCATGTCAAGCTATGCTATTTTCAAACTCTCATGTTTTGGAATTGAGCTACTATACTAAGCTATTTTTGCTCAATCTGTATTATTTCCCCTTTTTCATATTAGTAGGTGGCAGGCAAGTTTGAGAATGCTTGGATGACCAATTTTTCAGGATTTTTATTTTAAATGTTGGATAAATTTGTTAAGGCTTGTAAATTGTAATGAGCTTGATGTACATGTATGAAACGTAACAAGTTTATGACTAAGTCGTATCATAGCTATGTGTAGTAAGTTTATCTGTTGAGCTTAATAACAAACATTCATNTGATGTACATGTGTGAAACGTAACAAGTTTATGACTAAGTTGTATCATAGCTATGTGTAGTAAGTTTATCTGTTGAGCTTAATAACAAACATTCATTATATTTATAGAATTGGTATTAGAGTTTATTCATTATTTGGAGATTATATCATTTAGTACGTATGGAGACTATTAGCATTGTGGATTATTTAGAATTGGGTCGGAGTTTTACCTATAATGTGCAGGACTATGATCTTCGATGCTTTTTTCAATAAGATAGTTGATTTACTTAATTTTGAGATTTAGAGTTTGTACATGAGTGTTGAGATTAGTTTTCAATTTGTTTTGTTTTCAGTGGTTTTTGAGTTGTAATATTTAATTTCTTACTTATGTTTTTTATAACGAAATTACCAAAGGGGGAGATTGTTCGATCATGTATTTGTAATTGACTAATTTTGTGAAGTCTATGTAAATCTCAACCAAATTTTATGGTCATCATTCTTCAAAAATAAAGATCCGCAAGTAACAAAGGAAGGGAATGAGATTGGATGCACCTTCAAGCTTAGGAGAAAGGAAATGACCTTATAGACTTAAATCACTTGGTTTAATTTTAGACTTACGATGNAATCTCAACCAAATTTTATGGTCATCATTCTTCAAAAATAAAGATCCGCAAGTAACAAAGGAAGGGAATGAGATTGGATGCACCTTCAAGCTTAGGAGAAAGGAAATGACCTTATAGACTTAAATCACTTGGTTTAATTTTAGACTTACGATGATTAAGGTGAACAAAATGGAATTTGGAATATCTAAAAAATTACTTCTANATTTGTCTATACATAGATAACATGTTTATACTGAGTACAAACTTTACGATCTTAGAACTATTGAAAGATTCTTGCCGTCTTAATTTTGACATGAAGGATATAGATGTTGTTGATGTCATCTTGGGTATTAGAATTACAAAGTAGGATAATAATCTTATTTTCTCTCAATTACATATATTGAGAAAATATTTAAGAAATTTAATCATTTTGATTGTACACTTATTAGCACACATTTTAATTCATAATTAAGGTTGTTTCATAATACTGGTAGAGTGGCATAATATGTCAGAGTGAAGGATCTTCCGACTCAATTATACATGAGGAATCGAATGCACAACTTAGAGGGGAGATGAATAAATAAATTAAAAATTAGGACTCGAGCAATCACTAATTTAAATCTAATCAACCACAAAATTAATTAGTCATCTAGATCCCTTTTTTACCCACAAGAACAACCCAACATATGAATTATGATGATTAATATATGAAATTAATTAATTCATTAATCCAATCATTCACCCCTTAGATCCCACCAATAAGGCAATAATCCACAAAACTTAATCAATGAATATGTCAAATAGAGTCTTTAAACAATCATTACATCAAACACTTTGTGAATGTGTATTATTGCAACTGCGTATGAAAAATAAAGTAGTAAAAGTCATCCACAATATAAATAATTTGTTGGTGCGGAAATCTTTTTCTAGAAAAATCGAGAAATCAATCTTGATTCACCTAGAGCCTAATCAACTAAACTCAAAGTCAATTTACTAGTATTCAAGTCTTATACTTCAACCATTTTCTAGGATTAGGTGATCATTTCCATTATAAATCTCTCTTCTAGATTCACCATCGAAGTCTTGAGTAACTTTAGTTGGATATGTCCACCGCAATCAATTGTATAGCCCCTCGAGCAATCTTCTAGGACGCACCCAAGATTTTTAGTGTGCACATACCAATGTGAGTTTTGTTGATTACCAAGTTAGATCTTCTTCTCCAATGTGTGAAGTTGAATACAAGAATCAAGATGGATTTAGCTTTGGAGATTTAGGGATCTAATGTCTAGGAGGCATAAAATAAGCTTACAAGAGAGTTTTTAAGAGTTAGTTTAGCTTGGGAAGGCTTACCCTTTATATTTGTTCGAAATTAGGTTTGTCTCGAGGTCCAAGTAAACACAAATTTGAATATCATCACTCAGTCGGTCAAAGAGTGGTTATCACTAGAATGAAAAATTGATTCAAACTAGATTAGTGGAGTAGAGGCCGCTCGAGCGGCTAGAGGGCGGTCTCCATTGCCCAACTCATCAGCCTTCTTTGATTTTATCGTTAGGTGTTTATCACTCCAGCCGAAGACAAGCTAGCTAAGGGTGGTCTCTACTAGTTTTTAAGCTAAAAACATAGCAAAAAATTGATCAATTGAGTACTAAAAGGGTGTTGCTCAAATAGGAGTTGATACATGATTCATTCTATGTTCTCAAAACACATTTAAAATTTAAAAAATCAATTTCATGAAAAGATTAAAAGTCATTCACAAATATTCTTAATTCTAATTCCATTATCCTAATCAGTTTTAAGTCCATACATAAACCAAGTGTTCTAGGGTATCTACGTCAGTACTTTTATCTTAAGCACTGAAGTTGCATCGAAGATCTCTTGATTTGGCTTTGTAGTTTGAACTCTGTCTTTCCTTGTTGCTTTCAAAACTTGATCTTTGAAGCATCTTTCCCATGGAATTAGATTGAAATTTAAATCAAAATTTCATGAAATTAGCCAATTATAATTAATTTTCTAACGGTATACAATGAAAAGTCTAAGAGCATCTCCAACAATGCTCTATATTTTAGAGGGTATCTGTAGAAGCAAAAAATTGATAATACCTCTAACACTCAATTCG